TTTTTATCAATAAAATTGTCTTGCTCTATTCTCAAATCTCACATAATATCAGAGTCAAGGATCTAACCCTAGCAGCCGACTCTTCCTGCGTTTTTACCTGTTGTCGATTCTTTCTCCCATGATAAAGCCATTATCACATTACTGTCGGTTCCTTCTCCCAGCCGCTCTCGTGGAAAAGTCTCCCATAAGAATCTCCCGTGAGTTCTCCCGCCAACTAATTATCCAGCGTGAGCTGTCTCTTGCGAGCTCTCTTGTGAGAGCTTTCCCAACATCATCAACTGCAGAAAATACCTTCCTGCAAAGTTCTGCCGTGATTTTCTTTCTGCCACCGTAATCTTTTTATGTCTCGGCAAACCAAAATCACCTTTGGCTCCATTGGAATAATGGCGGACTCCTTCACCACCGACCTCCTGATGGCGTACTTGTATCCATCAGAGGATCGACACCGACCTCAATTCCTACGCAGATCGGAGGATCGAAAAACCACATGAACTTATTAATCACCATCCATAAATTGAACGAATTTAATTTTCTCCGATGGTCCCAAGCTGTGCCTTTGTTCGTCAAGGGACGCAGAAGATGTGATTGGTGAACCTCCTGAAATTGACACGACGTATGAAGCATGAGAAGTGGAGACTTCTATGGTCATTTTGTTGCTGATTAACTCTATGGAGGCTGCGATTGGTTGTTCATATATGTCCCTATGGACTGCAGTTCAAGACACCTACTCAGATTTAGAGAACTCTGGAACTCTAGCCAGCTTTATAAGGTTTCCAAGAAGATCCGTGAGACAAAATAGAGATCGAGGACAATGACCTAATACTACAATGATTTAGTGGCCTTATGGATGGAATGTGACTTCTATTATGACTGCATGCAAGAATCATCTGCAGACCCTGCAGACCTTTCCCCCTTTCAAAAAAAATTATAGAAAAAGATCGGATGTTCTTATTTTTGGCAGGTCTTAACAAAGATCTTGATGAAGTCCGGGGTCGTATCCTTGGCCGGGATCCCCTTCCTTCCGGTCGTGCTCCTTTCATAGAAATTTGACGCGAAGAGAGCCGGAGAATTGTCATGCTCGACACTTCCACCTCATGTGAATCATTTGTTTTGACCACTAATAGTATTTAACACTTATCAAACCCTCCTCGAGCCACTGTGTCTACTTGTGATTACTGTCACAAACCCAACCATACTCGAGAAAAGTGTTAGAAACTTCATGGGAAATTGACATACAAACCTTTAGCCAAATATTTCTCTGTCAAGGGTCTCACTACAATATTTGATTCTACTACGGTATAATTAGGTCCTATTAGGAATACTTCAGAATCACCCGACTCTCTTATGAGTCAAATGGAGCAATTAATTAAACTGCTTCGATCCAATTAGTTCATTTCTGACTCGTCAACCTCTCACGTCAGTCAATGTATCACTCGTATAACACACCTTTTTCTAGTTCATGTATCACTAATTCAGTCACAAACCACATGATTGGATGCTTTCAAGTTTTCTCAACATATTATCCATGTTCTGGGAAAGATATAACAAAAATTGTTGATGGCTCCTATCACTCTATTGCTGGTAAAGAATACGTTGTGTTAACAACCGGTCTAACTTTGTATTGTGTTATATGTCCCTTTGTTGAAGTGTAACTTGTTGTCTGTTAGTAAGTTGACTTATGACTTTGATTGTGTTGCCAATTTTTCTTCTGATGTTCATGTCTTTCAGGGTCATCGTTAGGGAAAAATGATTAGAACTATTAAAAAAGTAGCTGGGGTCTACTTTTTTCAAGAGAAAGACACAATGAACGAGGGCAAGGACACTTCTCCTAATAGTTGTATTTTTTCTCGATTTATTGAATGTCTTATTATGTTGCATTTTCGTTTGGGCCATCTCAATTTTCAATATTTAAAATAATTGTTTCCAGCGACGTTTACTAATAAAAATTTTGCTAACTTTAAATGTGAGATTTATCAATTAGCTAAACATCATCGCGTTTCTTATCCTTCCCATCTTTACACTTCTTTCGCCCCCTTTTTCCTTATTCATAGTGATATGTGGGAACCCTCTCGCACTTCCAACTATACTAATAAACAGTGGTTTTTTATTTTAATTGATGACCATACTCGAATGACTTGGGTTTATATCTTAAAACATAAAAATGAAGCTGCCATCACCTTCAAAAACTTTCACTTCTTCATTTTAACCCAATTCAAAACTTCGATTCAAGTCGTTTGAATTGACAATGATCGTGAATTTTTTTTAATTCTATTTTAGGCGAGTTCTTGGTAAGTAAGGACATACTCCATCATTGCTCATGTACGGACACGCCTAAACAAAATGGAGTTACCGATAGAAAAAAACTAACATTTTCTTGAAGTAGTTTGCTCTATTATGTTTCAATCTAATGTCCTGAAAAGGTTTTGGAATGATGCTGTGCTTGCTGCCACCGATCTCATCAATATATTTCCAATAAAACTCATAACCTTAGAACTCCATTAACTATATTGGTGTCATGTTTCCTTACCAACCTGTTATTCACTGTTCTTGAATCCAAAATTTTGGGTGCACGGTCATTGTTCGGAACACTAACTCTAATCCTAGTAAGTGCGATCTCAGGTCTATAAAATGCCTTCCTCTGATATTCTACCACTCAGAAAGGCTATCAGTGCCTTGATCATATAACAAATAAACTCTACGTAAGTGTTGATGTCACATTTTTTGAAAGTGTTCCCTACTTCTATTTCACTTCCTCAAGTGAGGGGGAACTTGATTTCTTGGACACTTCCTTATCCTACCCCTGTGGATATTTCTCCAATTACTATATCTGAGGAGGCGTCTTTCCCTTTGGATCCACCACCTACTAAACAGCCATAACCTCCTTCAATTCTTTGTGTCTATACTTGTCACACTTATGTTCCCACATTGGATCTTGCGAATTATTTGCATGAATTAAAATCCACTCCGAGTGAAATCCCCACAATTGACACCACTCCAAATGAGGAGGTGAGTTTTCTCATTGAGGTATGTAATAAGGCAAGCTCTCCTTATTCTATGGAAAAATATATCTCTTTTCAAAGTGTATCACCGATCAATAAAGCATTTGCTGCTGCTCTGACAAATCATCACCTTCCATCCACTATTGAAGCAGCATTAGTTGACCCTTTCTGGAAAGCTGCAGTAATGGATGAAATGAATGCTCTTCAACGAAATCATTAATGGGATTTTTTTGGATCTTCTTATAGGTAAGAAAGCAGCAGGGTGCTGCTGGATTTTCAACACCAAATTTAACCCTGATGAATATTTTGAACACAACAAGACATGATTAGTCACTAAAGGCTACTCACAAATATTTGAAGTTGATTATGAAGAGACATTTGCTCCAATTGCTAAATTAAACACAAATCGGGTCCTATTTTCCCTTGCTGTGAATTTGGATTTACCATTGCTCCATCTGGATGTCAAATATGCTTTCCTAAATGGGGATATCACAGAGAAGGTGTGCATGTGTCTCCCTCCAAGCTTTAACTCTACTGTTCCCCTGAAACAAGTGTGTCGATTTTGGAAGTCGTTCTACGACTAAAGCATTCCTCAATGGCCTAGTTTGACAAGTTCACAGAGGTGGTAATGGGTCATGGGTTTTCTTAGGTCAATTAGATCATACTCTCTTCTTTCGACATTCCTCCAGTGGAAAAATTGCTATCCTTATTGTCTATGTCGATGATATCGTGCTCACAGGTGATGATATACCGGCGTTGGAGTCTCTAAAAGGTATTCCAGTTACTTCATTTAAAATGAAAAACTTGAGGTCACTCCGGTACTTCTTAGGAATGGAAGTTGCTCGACCATCTCGGGGCATTTGTCTGTTTCAACGCAAATACGTGCTTGATCTATTGACAGAGAAAAACCTTCTCCATTGCATACCAGTGGCGGTTTCAATGGATTCTCATGTGAAATTAGCTGATGTTCTCAATGTGGTTCCGGTGAACAAGACTCACTACCAACGACTTGTGGGAAAACTTATTTACCTCGCCCATACCCGCCCCGATATTTGTCATGTTGTAAGTATTGTGAGTTAATTCACGCATGATCCCTATGAGCATCTTCTCTGAGTTGTCTGCAAGATCCTTTAAGACTTAAAAGTCCTTCCGGGCTCAGATTTGTTTTTCTCGAGCCACACATCTCGTTCTATTGTTGTTTATACAGATGCAGATTGGGTTGAGTTTGTCTATAATTGACGATCTACCTCAAGATATTGCTCATTCATGTGGGAAAGTTTTATGACATGGAAAAACAAAAAACAATTGGTTGTGGCATGGAGCAGTGCTGAAGTTGAATTTGGCTTCATGTCCCTGGGTACCTGTGATGCCCTTTTTTTAAGGATCATGCTTCGTGAATTGCGTTTGCTAGTCTTTGCTCCTCTCCAACTATTCCGTGATAATAAAGTTGCTATTATTATTGCCCATAATATGGTCCAACATGATTTGACCAAACATTTGGAGATTGATAGACATTTATTAAGGAGAAACTCGATCCAGATGATATTTGTATTCCATTTATCCCATCCAGTGGTCAATTGACAGATATCTTTATCAAGTATCTTTCCCGGCTATTGTTTGATGATTTCAAATCCAAGTTGAACATGATAGACATCTATGCTTCAACTTGAGGGAGAGTATTAGATTTATTATCCTAATTATTAGGGTAATCACTGTTGCAACTATTATTAGTTTTTATTTGCTTCTTTTATTTTATGTTTCCATATTTATGTATTTTCGTGTTGGTCTATTTATGAATTTATACTTTTCTTTTTATTTGGGACTTATAATATGTATTTATGTCTCCATTTTCTATTAATAAAATTATCCTGCTCTTTTCTTAAATCTCACAAAAATAATAAAACTTTGGAACTTGGAATGATGTTTCAATTATTACTTGTTATCACTCAACTTGTTATTCCTTTTTTTAGGCTTAGTTTCTCAAATGAGCGTTCAAAACAGGTAAAGCGTTGCGGTGAGATGTCACGGAAGTTGAGGTTTTTTAGTGATCAGATAAACAAGGCCAACCTTGCAATTTTGGCTCGCCCAGCTTTGCAACCAGATGTTCATTTAGAGCAACTAGAGGTTATTGCCGAAGTTCAAATTTTACTTTGAAAGATTTACATGCATACCACTCAATTCTTATATAGTTACATATCTAGCACCTAAACTTCAGTTTCTACATATATGCCACCTTACCTATTCATGAAAAGGTGTATTTCACTTTTTTAAAATTAAAATAGTGATATTTTTTTGTGATATGAAAGATTTGGGTGGTATAAATGTAAAAATCAAAGTTTAGGTGCTAGATATGTAATTACTTCGGTGATATGTATATAAATGTCCCTTCTACTTTGTCAATTTATGCTTTATATTCAGAAGGCCTATAAAAGATACATATTCTCTTGGTTTTAGGTTCTACTGGGTGAGCATGAGGCTGAACTTCTTGAAATGAATACAAATGGTGAAAAACTGCAACAGACATATAATGAACTTCTGGAGTTTAAGTTGGTTTTGGAGAAGGTGCTTAAATTTTGATCATAATTTGCTGTGATGATTTCTCCATAAAATATTGGGAAATTTACATACATACCACACAGTTCTTATTTATTTACATATCCAACACTTAAAAGTTTGATATTAACGCTTGTAACACTTTGGTGTCATAAACATACGCATGAAAATGTGTCTTTTACTTCAGAAAAGATAGTGATTGTGGTATTTTTAATGTGATGTTAAAGATTTGAGTGGTATGAATGTTTAGTGTTAGATATGTAAATGCATAAGAATTGTGTGGTATGCATGTAAATACTGCTAAAATATTTTTCCTGGGTTGTCATTTTCTCTACTCGATTTCTTAAGTGCATTTTTCCCTGCAGATTGTTAATCTCCTGTTTTTTAGGTTTACAAAGCTAATCCAGAACCATTATACTTTCATCATTTTTTTAAGATAGGATATTTCTCGTACTGAGATTAAACAAGTACATAACAAGGTTTGTAACTACGTGGTAAAATATTTTCCCTGGGTTGTCATTTTCTCTACTCGATTGCTTAAGTGCTTTTTTCCCTGTAGATTGTTAATCTCTTCTGTTTTTTAGGTTTACAAAGCTAATCCAGAACCATTATACTTTCAGCATTTTTTTAAGATAGGATATTTCTCGTACTGAGATTAAACAAGTACATAACAAGGTTTGTAACTACTTCGTGTTCTGACTTCTGTACCAACTTAATAAGAGTTAATGTCATTCCAAAGATGGTATAATACCCTAGAATGCATGATATGATGAATGAATTTAATCTCTATTTATAATATAAACCTTAAGAGTCAAGACTAAATATACTTGTTTCGTATTCAATAAGAAAAGGCACATGCATAAATGTATGTAAGCAAAAAATGTATAATCATAGATATAAGATATGGAATCTTATGCATCATCATATTCCCTTGGTGGTATTTCGTCAAAGGAAGTAAGAAACAACTAGTGGATAGAAAATAAAACAAGCAACTGTATCTATAGTAACCCAAAACCCAACGACAAATTTGATATAAATATTGAATCAATAAATTAGTGATTGCTGAAATATCTACTCCCATAGTCTCAGCTCATCAAACTTAACGGGATATGCTATGAGAAATGTGAACCTAGAAGGCGCTTATCATGTAAACATTGTAAATATTTTTTCTTTATTAATGCATAAACGATAAGATACAAAACATGCAACATGAGTAGTAAAAGTGACACAATTAACAATTTAATTTCAATAGAACAAATATCATTATAATATTAGGTTAGATAAATATTGCATGGCATGAATGACCAAAATTACTAATTGTTTATGATGATTTACAATTTTTTAATTGCATGCTCATAAGTACCTTCCATGGACCAAAGCATACGCTAGCATATTTCACGATCCCTATACAAAACAATCGGGTATCTTCTTCTGCCGAGCTCACTTGTTGAACTGGTATGCTGAGCTTACTTTTCGAATTGGTATGCCAAGCTCACTTGCTGAAGTGACTTATTTAGCCCTCCGAAATTGCTCCACAAGATTTGCAAACCATCGACATGGAGGACGTCATTCAAGGACGGACACGTGCTCACATATAATTAAGAGCCGTCTGACATCCACGTCCCCATCTTCTAGAAATGACAATATGAACGAGCCTTATTTTGAATGGTCTACATTTTGGTTTTTCTCTTTCCCCTCCTGTCAGCGGAAGGGTAGGAGGGAGAAAGCAGGGGAATAGAGATAAATTAAAGCATCCCCCACTTTGGAGGAGAGGACCACCCCAATCGATCAATCTATCAAATTATCTACATTTGTCTCATTTTCTCCTCCCCAACTCTATCTTTGACTATTAGCTAAGAATCGAGATTTATGAGAGGGGAGAACTTCCATTCCATATTTTCTTCTTCAATACTTTTATGAAAAAAATAGGCCTCTCATTGGGTTGTATGAGCCCATGAACAATATGGGATCCACGCCTTAAATGGATTCAACATCTTGAAATGTATGGTGAGTGTGAACGACGCAGGGCGTCTGAACAACGACCGGATACGGGCGTGGAACAACGCCCCGAAGGGGGCACTCGAAACTGCAAGGTCAAAGCCCCGCGAAACTTCATTAAGCCGCGCGAGGTCTCGCGATTCCGTGAAGATGGGAGAACCCGCTACACGGAGAAATCGTGATTTCTTGCGATCCATTCAGGCAATTCACATAAGATCTTTTTTGGGAAGTAATTTCTGGATTCCTCTTGGCTTTCCACTTATCCCTTTTGTGTAGAAGTTTCTCCTATGCATATAAATAGTTGTCTTTGTGTATGTGGGAGTCATATTTGAGTTGTGTTTGAATTTAGCTTCAAATCTTTTGTGTGAAATCCCATTTTTCTTTGTGGTGCCCGTGAAGGTGGTGGTGCTCCGACTATATCCTCTTCGAGGTGGTGGTTGTATCCCCCCTTTCGACCCTTTCCAGACATTCTCCTCTCCACTTCTCTACCACTAAACTCACCCACCATCATCCTGACATCCAATTGTTTCCCCTTCTTGCAAATCATTCCTGTTTCCCCGCCTACCTAACTTTTTTCAAAACCCCTCCCAACTACCACACTACTGCTGTCGACCACTTACAACCCTTTCACTTATTGTTCCTATAGTTCCCTACCTTCCCTTCGCTACCAGCCGCTTTTCATGACTACTGACATCTCTCATAGTCATTCCTATTTCTGTAGCCAACTTCCGTCACCCTTTGGGTTACATTTACGGGTATTGTTTGTGCTGTTTTATGTCTTGTGTTTTTATTTCTGTTTGAGTCATATTGTAATTCTATTTTAAAATTAATGTAACATTACTTTTTGAGTATCCATTATTTTTCCTACCAGTTTCGATATTATTTGGTATCAGAGCTAGCTCAACCCTAGTTCTATTTTAGGGTTCCCCAGTCCCACCCTTACCGAATTCACCTCCATCAACTTTTT